AAAAGTTTCCAAATGTTCAAAGATCCTTGATGTGTATACTTTACATTCATACGTAAACTGAAAATGTTTCTTTAGATGTCTGTATATGCAAATAAAATAATACTTCTTGATATTCCATAATAATTTTCCCCACCCATACTTTAGGATATCAAGTGTACATACTGTGACCAATTAACTGAAGTATTCTTTTTTACATGTAGCACTTGCATTATATCTATTAAATATAATACTCTGATATAATAATACTTTAAGTTCAATATAATCTCATATCTGTACAATTCTTGAAAGAAGAATTATAAACAAATAAAAAATCAGTATCTGCACCAGTTAGAAACTGACTTTTTGAAAATGCCATTTGTGAATATTGCATATAAATAAAGCTGAAACAATACATGATTAAGATTAACATGGAGAAAGAAATGACAAAGGAAAAGATGTTAATTACGATGCATTGGCTATTGTGATTCAAAGACTTATTCATCTTTTACTGTCTCCATTCAATACTTTGCGAAGCTTACAGATACATTTTTATTGCAAAAATCTTTAAAATCCCAACGCTTTAAGGAAAATCTTTTCATATACATATATATATTAAATTAATGAAGCCAACAGTATGAATGAATGCATCAGCAGACGTGAGTTCAGTAAATATTTAGAAGACACCTCATGTTCATAACTGGCGTTGTAATGATTGGTACCCCGGCAACTGCCAGCAAACCTTCACTAAATATTTGTTTTCTAGATCTTGGAGATGTTCCTGGCAACTAAGTGTCAAACAGGGAATCAGTCCTGGTTCCATCTTGCCTTAATACATGTGGTGAAGGGTTGATATTTTGACAAAATAGATTGTGGAAACCCCAAGTATGCTGACACTGATACTCAATGATTGTTTTGGAGAGCCAATGAAGGTTCATTTTTAACATTTACAGTAAATTTTCACATAAGGTGAATATTAAATACTTTTATCATGCAGGTTTTCCAAGATTTGAAGCAAAAACAAAAAATATCTATAATGCAATACACACAATATGCATAAAAACTTCATGCCATTTTTATTACAACCTACAAAACCACAAAAATAACAACATGATACACTATCCCACACACAAACACTGAGCCATTTGCTCAAATCATGAATTAACCCAGGCCTACATCCCTCTGACATGAAATAATTACTCATGATATCTCACACGCACCCGCGCTTAGGCCTACTCCCATTTCAAAACACCGATCGACCGAATACGACGCAGACCGCGATAAAAGGTAGAATAAAGGGACAGAAAATTCACTTTATTTGAACAAAATAATAGTATTGATGTAATTCACAATGTTAAACCAACACCTGTCTCTCCCTCTCTCCCCGGCGTAGGCCTATATCGGCGATGTTTACGACTATCGGTCACTCTTGCCGGGCCCGTCAACGGAGCCATGGCGAGACTAGTGCCTTAATCAACCTCTTTTTTTCTGCCCAGAATGCCCAGGTCGATCTGCCTCCCTCGCTACTCCGTCCTTGCCACGGCTATACCCACCCTCCACCCCTTCCTCCCTTCCTACCTTCCCCGACCCGCCTCAAGAGATAGAGATCGAAAGCGAAGACGGATAAAGCAGAAAAAGAAAATTAAAAAAACGGAAAACAAGTCATAAAAAGCGACAAGAAAGAAAGAAGGAGAGGGAGAAGACGTGAATCCCGAGCAAAATCACCACGGAACGAGAGGTTCCTCGGGCGTCTGCGTGGTAGGACGTTTTTCATCAATATATCAGCTTCACCGTCGCCCGGCCGCCCGCCACGGCACTCGCTCCAACACACCCTTTTGTACACCCTTCTCTCACCCTTGTGCCCCCACCCTTGGGCATACTTTCTCTCTCTCTCTCTCTCTCTCTCTCTCTCTCTCTCTCTCTCTCTCTCTCTCTCTCTCTCTCTCTCTCTCTCTCTCTCTCTCTCTCTCTCTCTCTTTCGTTTTCCTCCTCGATCATTCCTCTCTGTGGGATGCGGCTCGAATAGTCATCAATAAAACGATGTTATCATTAAAAATTACATAATTCGAGGATGAAAGCAAAAATGAAATGTTGATTGAAAGGCAAAGGAGTAAATATGGAGGAAGGAGGCGAGTAGGAGAGCCAGTGCTCCCTCTCTTAAGGATCCGCACCCTTAACCTTGGCATCAGAGAAAATGGCTCAGACGTCGACCTCGACCTCGACTTCTCCCTCCCTCCCCTGCCTTTATCTTTATTATGCTTTTATTTATTCATTTATCTGTTTTTACTTATTTCATTTTCAATCGACCTCTCCCACTATTCACTCCCTCACTGTCACAGAAAATGGCTCAGACGTCGACCTCACCCTCGACATCTCTCCCTCCCTCCCCTTCCCCTTCTCCTTTATCTTTCTTACCTTTTCAATCTTTCTTTCTCTCTCGTTTCTCTAATTTCATTCGACCTCTCCCACTCCAGGAACCTCAGCTCGCATCAATGCCATTCTCACTCGTCTTGTTCCGTCCTTA